AATCCTCCTAGTCTGGAGTCACAGAGGAAGGCTCTTCCTACCCTGCCAATCACTCCTACCCAGCCTGGTAAAGAACATGCAGAGGGCAGATGGGAAGCAGCGCTGGGGAAGCCTCAGGCCGGGCTGTTCCCATGACTTCAGTGCCCACTTCAATCTAGATCACACTGGCCCAGCCCTGAAGCAGAAACGTTGGCCAAGCCAGGCCATGGCAGACAGAGTGACAGTTCGTGGCGGGGTGCAAGCGGAACCCAGATAGATACCTGAGTGCCAGCCCAGGGCTGTCCCTGCGGCCGGAGGCTCTGTCCATGGTCACCCTTCCCAGGCCTCCCAAAGCTGCGCTCAGGCCTTCACACGCCCCGGTCACTTGGGCGACACTTACCCACCTGGCGTTTGCCTCCCCAGGGGCTCACGAGCTGGAGCAGATGCAACTCATCCTGGAGACCATCCCCGTGATCCGGGAGGAGGACAAGGACGATCTGCTCAGGGTGATGCCCTCCTTCGTCAGCAGCACCTGGGAGGTGAAGAGGCCGCTGCGCAAGCTGCTCCCCAAAGTGAACAGTGAAGGTACCTGCACCTGCCCACAGGCTGGCAGCCCAGAGCCGGCCTTGGGCTTCACCTTGGCTGTGTGGGGAAGGGGCAGGCCCTCTCCCTTAAGCCATCTCTTGCAAAAGGTCCAAGCACCCAGCGTCATCCCTTGACCCAGAAGCCGAGGCCCCTGGTGCAGGCATTCGCCCTGCTCTCCGCCAGGCCTGGGGAGTCTGCCCCTTAGACACCCCACGGGGCAGTCTTGGCGGCCCCCAGTTTTACTCCTTTCCCCTAGGAGGGCCTGGTGTGGGCAGAGGACGGGAGCTCCGCCAATGCAAAGCCAGACTCAGGTTTGGTGCCCAGCTCCACCGGTGGCTGGCCATGAGCACAGTCCCTGCCCTCAATGCCTCTCAGTTTCCCTAGCATACAGGGGTGTAATAACATGTCATTGTGAAGGGAAAGTAAAACAGAACTTGGAACGGCCTCACAAAGTTACTCCATCAGCTGAGGTGGTACCTGCTCCCAGGCCTCCCAGTTCTCAGAAAGTTCCTTAGGAAACACCTCTACAAGATCAAATATAGGTTCAGCCAAATTCTCTGTGGTGCCAGTAAGGTATATTATGTATGAAAGAAGAAGCCAAGACATTCTTTTCTCACTCAGCTGACCGTCCCAAGCAGACAGTCCCCTGATAGGGTGGCCTGTTCTGCAAAGCCAGGCCTGAACCTAACCAAGAGGTTAGGCCTCTTCTGTCTGTCCTGCCGTCTTAGGGTGTTATCCTCACCCCCTGGAGGAAGACGGGGGAGGAGGCAGGCCTGTGTCCTTAAGGTCAGGAACCAGAATTTGTGCACCTCATTCTGCAACTTGATGGCCAGATTTGTTCATGCACCCCACCATCCTGCAGGGAGACTATGAAATAATCCTTTATCCTAGGCCTTTGACCCCAGGACCCCTGGGGACCTGAGGAATCCAGCTTGAATCCACAGGGCCACTGGAAAGGGGGTGTGCTTATGCAGAAGCCTCACTGTATTAGCCTTAAAAAACAACTGCCGGAGGCCCTCCCTGGTGGCGCAGCGGGTTAAAGCACAGCACTGAGAATCTGAAGCCACTTCCGCATGAGTTCGATTCCCGCCTGCCGCCTGCCCCGGAGGAGACCACATGGCGAGCCAGACCTCTCCTGGCCCGCCCTCGTAGATCTGCCTGTTCTGCTCCCCACTCTGTCTCTGGTGAAGCCTCTCACCACCCCTGAGCCTCTGGCCTGTACCCCAGTTCTGTATGAATAAATAAATAAATCTTTAAAAAAAAAAATCCATCTAAAAAACAACTGCCGGGAAGGGGTTGAGCCCAGAGAAAAGGACAAGCCAGGGAAGAGAGCGCATAGGTGCTTTTTTTTTTTTTTTTTAAAATTTCTTTATTTCTGCATACAGAACTGGGGTACAGGCCAGAGGTGTAGGGGCAGTGGGAGGATTCACCAGAGACAGAGTGGGGAGCAGAACAGGCAGATCGAAGAAGTACACTACTGAGGGGAGCAGCAGGCAGTCAGGAGAGGTCTGCCGCGCCATGTGGTCACCTCCGGGGCGGGGATCTCACTCATGCTGAACTGGCCTTAGCTTCTGAGTGCTGTGCTTTAACCTGCTGCACCACCAGGGAGGGCCCAAGAGAGCATAGGTCCTTGCAGAAGGATTTTTTTTTTCTTAATTTTATGGAGAGGCTTTTATTGATCAAGTAAAAATCTCTTTATTTTTGACAATGTTATGAAGTAATAACTTTTATTTTGCAAAAATGTTGCACGCAATTTTTTTTATTACAAAGTTTATTTTTACATCATTTTACACATTTTTTTTTCCATCTCGATTATAATTCCCGCGGGTTTCCCATCACCAAATCACCCCTGTGCCACCACCATAGTCCCGTGCATTTCCCTCCCTTCTCCTCCCCCCCCCATTTTTGATCCCATTCCCCACTCCATTATTTTTGTTATTTTCTCGCCTGGTCCATTATACTCCTGCTATGAGTGAAACCATCCGGTATTTTTCTTTCTCTTTCTGGCTTATCTCACTAAGCATGATCTTTTCCAGCTCCATCCAAGTTGCTGCAAAAGACATGTGTTTATCTTTTTTGGTTGCTGAGTAATATTCCATTGCATATATGTACCACATCTTTCTAATCCAGTCATCTACTTTTGGGCATTTGGGCTGCTTCCATGTTTTTCCAATTGTAAATAAAGCAGCAATAAACATGGGGGTACAAGTATCTTTTTCAATCAGTGTTTTTGTGTCTTTTGGGAAGATACCTAGGAGTGGGATTGCTGGGTCGTAGGGAAGCTCCACGTTTACCTTGCAGAAGGATTTTATGGGTCAGGCCTGGAAGTGGGGTCCACCCATCTTTCCACCGACACCAGTCCACAGCTACATGTAAACACAAGAGATATGGGTGCCAGCAGGCAGGGGGCTTGCAGTGGCACTGGGAGAGGGGCAGTCATGGAGAAGAGAGAATGGCTGACTGAGGGGCTCAGAGAGCAGCACCCCGCTCAGGGCAGAAGAGAGTCTCAGCCAACTTCAAGTTTCACTGGGTCTTTTTTGACAATGACGATAATGCCAACACCGCCCACCATGTTTAGAGCTCTCGTGCTCTTGTTTCCTTGTCAGTGGGTCAGTGTAATAGGTGAGGGTGATGGGGGGCCCCAGCCCAAAGAGGGAAAGGCTTGCAGCCATGCTCTGCCCGCATCACCATGCCGCTTGCTCCCCAGTCCTGGGGACCTGGGAGACAGATCCTCTTCCAAGGCTGCAGCCCAGAAGCACCCTCTGAGCTCCCAGCTGTTTGGGGGATGATCAGAGTAACTCTACTTGACTGATCTTTCTGTCTAAGATTATGCAGCACCCCCATGGCCTCCTGGGAGGCGCTAACCTTCAAAATCCATTGATTTCTTGAAGCATTGATGAATTTTCCTGCAGAGCGATCCAGGGCAGTGTGAGCGGCAGAAATGGTGCTGGCTGAGTTTCACCTGGAGTCCCTCCGAGGAGAAAGCCAGCTGCATTTCTCCCCTAACATATGGGCTGTCTGTGATTACTCAAGTCATGACTGAAAAGAGGGGCCCTGATTGCTGACCAGACCTTGCCCTGAGATAACACAAAGCCGAGCTCAAAGGGTGCCCCCACCCCTGCTCTGGGAAAAGAGCACCATTACCTGTTTGCAGAACTGCTGTCCAGCCTGCAATACCCATAGAATCCCCCTGGCAGGGCCTCCCTGGTGGCACAGTGGGTAAGAGCGCAGCACTGCGAGCTGGCCGCAGCTGCCTCAGTGCAAGTTCCATCCCCGGCCCCGGAGGTGACCCGCATGGCGCGGCAGACCTCTCCTGACCCGCCCGCTGCCTCCCTCAGCAGGGTACTTCGTCTCTCTGCCTGTTTGCTCCCCACTCTGTCTCTGGTGAGTCTTCTCATCCCCATCATCTCTGGCCTGTACCCCAGTTCTGTGTGCGTAAATAAATAAATCTTTAAAGAAAAAAAAAAAATCCCCCCCTAGCAGATTAAGTCTTGACATGCTTTTCTGTTGCTTTGCACACAGCCACCACCCAAGGCCTCCAGCCGTCTTCCCGTCCCCAGGATCTAGCTGCCCAGGACTGCCCCAGAGCTGGCCACGGAGTGGCCACTGCTCCCCAAAGCAGGGAAGCACAGCCTGGTGGATAGTCTGAATAACGAGCCTGCCTGCCTGTTTGTCAAACTTTCTGGGGCAGGGGTGGGAGGAGAGCCTGGGGCTGTTGGGCACAAGCACTGAGTCCTTGTGCTGCCAGCATCTAGGGGGACACAGTCCCCACCACCCCAGCAGCACTCAGCTGGTGAGGAGTGGGAGTGGGGGGAGAGACACCCCAGCTTCCCTCCCACCAAATGGAACCACCTCTAGTGTGTGTCCCCCGCTGCCTCCTGGCGAACCCCACTGAACCAAACCCCAGTCACCTACAAGAGGAGCCAGCTCATCAGCACGTTTTCTGTTGGCGTCTTCCTCTGCCCTCTACCTGTGCTTTCTGGGGTCACTGCCACATAAACCACCCACCCCTAGCCCTGGTTCTGGAGAAACCCAGCCTGTGGCAGCGTAACCCACAGTGTCCTCTGGGCTCACTCACTTGTGAAGTCAAAAGGCAGCTCTGTTCTGTGCTTGTCACGGGAGAGGAGCGGCTGGGACCCCTCTGTCCAGAGGAGAAGTGCCAACACCTGGTAGGTCACCGTTGGGGGACCTGCGTTCTCTGCTTGGCAGGGACAACACATGACCTTCCTGTCTGCTCTGCTCCCCACAGCCATTGACTTTCTGGAGAAAATCCTGACCTTCAACCCCATGGACCGTCTGACAGCCGAGATGGCGCTGCAACACCCCTACATGAGCCCGTACTCCTGCCCCGAGGACGAGCCCACCTCACAGCACCCCTTCCGCATCGAGGATGAGATCGACGACATCCTGCTGATGGCCGCCAAGCAGAGCCAGCTCTCCAACTGGGACAGGTGCGGCTTCGGGGTGCCGGCCCAGCGTCCAGTCCCCGTGCCCGGCCTCCCACCTCTGTCCCACCCGCTCCTCCCCGTCCCTGCGTGTCCACAGCTTAGCTTCCGCCCTTCTCCCTCACGTCCTGTGCACTCGCCACAGATGATCCGTGTGTCTTGCCCCTGTGGGTCTTCTGGGCCGTCCAGCCTCCACCAGTTTTCCTCCCAACCCGAGTGCAGTGAGCACAGACTCAAGGCAGTGGCGGACAGTGAACGAGACCTCCCGCCAGAGCTCGGCTCTAGCAGGCTGGGACTTTGCCCTTCCAAAGTAAACTGCAGCAATGCAAAGCAAGAAGACAGTGCAGCATTTACCACAGCACACTACTCTTCTGGGGCTCTCATCATCTGGGGTACTCCCAAGAGTGCCGCCAAGGGAGAATCATCATCACCACTCTTACTATTATTATTGCCACGCACACGAGGAAGCTGCCGCTCAGAGAGGCTGAGAGGGGCTTGGGCCACACGTGCATCCTCCCCCGATCTGGGTCATGTCACACACTGCTAAACAATCAAAACGCTGTTCTGCTAAACGAGGCTCACATTCACCAGCGTCCTGGAAGTTACTACCAGGGGGTCAGAGTTGGATGGCAGATAGGTATTTTTTTTTTTCCTGCAATATCCGTAGGCATGTAATTCGGAGGCTTCCTGCTTTGATGTTCTCAGATCAGACAGCTAAAGATTGGGGCTTCGCCATCTGCTAATCCTGGCAGGGGAGGCTGGTGGCTGCTCACTCCAGAGGTAGGAGTCAAGGACTTAGCAAGTAGGGTGCTGAGGGGCCTAAGTGGGAGCCCCGCTGCTCTGGGACTGTGACAGTTAGTTACATAAGTGGCAGATGAGCAATTTCTCCTTTTTAGTCATCTGACAGATGATGGGTTTCGGATGAATGAAGCACCAGAGGCTGCGAGCCAGTGCTTTGTGGCTATTTTTGGACTGGTTTGTTGGTCTGCTGTGACTGTTGTTATCTAGAGTTGTCAGCAAATAGAGATTAATGAAGCTCTCGGCTTCCTCCTTGGAAGCCTGCCCTCCCCGGGTCCCCAGCACTGGGGGCTAAGAGCGGGCTCAGCGACGTCCTTCCCGTGGGTTCCTTGGGTGCCGCCCATCATCGCGGGCCGCTTCCAAGCCTGGCACCCTCTGCCCCTGCCCTTACCCATCGCGCCTGCACAGGGAGGATGACAGAGGTGATGACAAACCCACTGCCCGGGCACACTGCTCCACCTCTGAGCACCAGTGCCCCATCTCGGCTACAAACACTCAGCCGCTGTCAAGTGGACGGGGTGGGGGTGGGGGGCAGCAAACGTTAAGTCTCAGCAGTTTCAAGGACCCTCGTGGGAAGAGACTGCTCACTTCTGGGGTGACTCCTGCGCTGGGAGGGCGGCAGTACCCGCCTTGCAGGCCACATGGGGGCCTGCCGCTGGCCACCAGCCCCTTCACAGCCAACCCTGCCTGGCCTTGCTGTGCCTGTTTTTCCTGTGTGTGCACAGCGCCCGCCGCTCTGGGAGCAGCTGGAGGCGACTGCTCTGTGCCCTGTGTCCCTGTATCTCTGTGTCCCTGTCACTGGTCCTGTATCAAGCACCTGGCACAGGGAGGGAGGGCTCAGCCTGAGTCACAGCTCCCCACCTGCCCTTCATTTGCTCGCTGCTACCTGACTTCATCCCCAGTGTCTGCAGGGCAGTTGACCGAAGGCAGAACACCAAGGATTTCTGTCCTCTCCTGAAGGGGTCATCTCTCTCCCACCTCAGACCTCATCACAACATTAGGCCTATTGAATCAGAACTGGGAGTGTGGGTGGGGCAGGTATGGAATATATTTTTTTAAGATTTATTTATTTGTGCATACAGAACTAGGGTA